TTGACTATCCCGATGCGCCTTCGGATTTCAATATCGCATTTTACGTCCTTTGTTAAAGACACACATCTGATATTTAAATTGTTGCCCATGTTGCCTTTAATACAACCCTTTCCAATCCCTCTTTCCTCATTATATTGCCATAAAAACTTCAACAGTTTTTTTCTGATGTTAAGTAAAAGTGTATACTTTAGTTGTAAATTCAGAGTTGTACGTTCTATGGACGAGTTGCTGATCAAAGCCACCCTTCAGTGTGAGTTGGTTTCCTATAACAAAGACGCGAGTTCGAAGCATGTCATTAACAAATTGGAACTAATCGAAAATTTAAAATTTTGGAAACTAAAAAAGGCAAAAAGATTTTTTTAACTGGTTGGCCACTGCAAATTCTAATATAAACTTGCAGCATTTCCGTGGCCATCTTCTTTGGCAAACATTGCACTTTTGTTGTACGCATGCTAAAATTTGAGTAATCACGAATCAAGAAATAAAAAGCCGTATAAATTTTCATCTAAACAACGTACACGGACAAATTAACACATTTTTCCAGACAAGTCAAAAAATATGAAATAATAATTATTATCAAGATTGAAGCATAAGTCGACTCTATTCCAGGAGAAAAACAAAAAAAAAAAAACTTAAAAAGAGAGAGATTAGATGGCTCTGTTTGACAATACTCAAAATGTTTTTTCTGGGTATTCCGACATACAATTTGATGGAATAATGTCTCCTTTAATTGAAATCAACCACATTTTACACCCATTGCAAAGTAATTTGACTTAACCAAAGTGGAAAAAAAGAAAATAAATTGTATTTAACAATTTCTTTCATCCAATAATCAAAGAGAATTTAATTACATATGAAATTTATTTACAATGGTTAATAATACTTTTCCTCTGGAAAATTGAAAAATAAATGACAATTTGGAAACAAAATTAGCAGTATGTATACACAGAAACGATTATACGAAAATGCTTCAAATTGAAATTGAATTTCTGTGATCCTTTTCAAATCTGATCTTTTTAACAGCCGAGGCAGGATTACTCAACTTTAGTATACATTAATAAAAAAGTGCGATTTTCCAGCAAAAAAAAAAAACAGTGACCAGGGAGATTTTTTAAGTTTTACTTAGTTTGTACGGAATCACAACATAAGGAAATATTTCTGACATTTTTCAATTTCAAAATCTTTTAATTTTCGATACTCCCTAATATATATATATATATATATATATATATTTATATATATATATATATGAAACACACACACATATATATATATATGTGTGTGTGCGTGTGTTTCATTGAATAATATAGCAGATATTGCGTCTACTTATTTTTATGCCGATCCTTTCCAGTTCTCTAATCAGTTTCTTGATGTTAAGAGGAAATTCTTCAGGGAAGGCGAAGTGTTTTTTTTTTTTGTTTTTGTTGTTTTTGTTTTTTTTTAACTCAAATATAGCGGAACCTCGGTTCACGAATTTAATTCGTTTCTGAAGGCCGTTCGTAAAGCGAAGTGTTCGTAAACCGGGTACTAAATGGATTCAATGTAGAGAAAAAAATCACAGTACAATAAAACTGGAAAAAAAAAGCACGGCACAACACACGAATGTAAACACAAATGTATGCAATACGGTGGTCGAACCGAATTTTTGTTCGATAACCAAGCCATTTTCATCTCGAAGTTTCTGTTCGAAAACCGATTTGTTCGACAACTCAGGTTCCTCTGTACTTTCCAAGATCATCATCAGTCGCAATAAGCACAAAATTTACAGTAACTAAACCTCTTTTAAGTACGCTATAAGATTGGTGGCAAAGTAAAATCCTTTTGCAATTAGATGTAACAGTAAGTTCTATGCTAACAATTTCTTCTCCAGCACTTCTCACTTGTAGACCTCTTCTGGCTTTTTGCTTTCCATTGAAGTTTGATCTAAATGCAATGTCAATCGTTACATTCAATCTTCTTAATTCCTATTCTTTTATTGCTGTCTCTCCTTAGTAATGTTTTTATTTTTCTCATATTCTTTCACACTCAACACCTCAATAAAGTCCCAGTGGCTTTATTGTCTTGCTTGGAGTGAAATTATTTTTTTTAAACAGTTCGCTCAGCATAACTAGAGTATAAACTACAAATTGGCTCTGTTGGTGTTGAGAAAACACAAATTGGCCTCGGAAACGAGCAACCATATTGAAGATGTAAATCATACAGATATTCGAGTGGAAACAGTTCTGATGATGATTCAAGAGAATGAATTTTTCTTCGGGGCGGGTAAGACGAGGGATATGTAGAAGCATTTGAGGTTTAATTGCGTCGACAGTTAAACTGACTCCCAGGATCTTACTTCATTTGAATATTTACTGACTATTCTCAAACCTTAAATGAATCTATAAAGGAAGAAAAAGATAGCAGCGTCAGAGCCCGTTTTCAATAAAACATTTTTTTATTTGTTTGTTTGTTTTTTAAGAAATAACGACATTTGAAATGCAATGTTGTCTGCATGTCCACAGATGGTTCCTCTTTGGTTGGGCAGCATACCCTTACATTACGATATTTCTCGTCTTATCTTGTACGCCATGAGTTTAAACATGGGGAACAAGGTTATGAAGATTCCCCACAATGAAGAATAAACAATTTTGAACTCTATCAAGACTAAAAGTGAGAATCGAACACTTCCAACTCAGATGTCGCTAACGAGTTCCTCACAGCGAAGCGTACGCCATGTTGCCTTGGGTCATCCTGAGGCCGGCCCTGCCAGATGAAGCTGGAGTTGGTCTCTCTGATGGAACCGCTTCTACTACTTCTTACCTCGTCTTACTTTGTTTTATCTAATCGAACATTTGTAATGATGAAGCATAGTTACTTTTAATCAGTTTACCCTAAGTAATGTAATAAAGCCAGTAAAACGCAGTGGGTTACTAATTGTGAAAGAATATATGAAACAGAAAACTAATAATTAAAAACAAGAATAATAAAAGAACAGGAATTAAGAACAAAAAGTAACAATAGACATTGCATTTAAACCTTTAAAGATCAAATTCGACTGGAAAGCTAGAAACCAGAAGAGAGTTCCACAAGCGAGATGTGTGAGAAAAGAAACTTTTAGCACAGAATCTACGGTTATATCTATCCATTTCAACTGGAAAATGATGAGACCTTTCCGCCAATCTAGTACTGCGCTTAAATTTGTAATTTTTACGTACCATAGAGAAAATTTTCATCAGAACATTTAACATGTACGTATTTATAGAAAAAGTATAAAACGATTCGAAATTTTTTTTTTGGATTTTTAGCAGTGGATCGCTTGATGTCTGCACAGTAGACTTTTACATCATGGTGCCCTATTGAGAGTGAAACATTATATCGTGACTGGAGAAATCTCAGTATATAGTCGTTGACGATGAAATGTTACTAGCCTGGGATTTTAGGTTTTAAAAGTTACAAGCCAGTTTTTCCCCCATTGAGACGTCAAGACAGACGAAAGATCAGTTGCAAAACTCTTCGCATCTAGATATCTATCAGTGCGTCCATAAACACTGGTAGCATCTGCATATATGTTTACTAATGATCTGTGACTGTTCCGAGGCAAATCGTTTATAAAAGCAGAGAGCATTGATGGGATGACTGTATTGATTTCATGGGCTTCAAACGACTGGCTTTTCACAACGACTTTCGTGGGCCTACTTACCAGTTCTATAGAATTGTTTTGGTTGGCTATTAAAAAAGATACATTTTTTTCTCTCTTTGTAGCCATGTCGATTTGATGTCATATTATTTACAATTACTTTTGTTTGTCGATTGAAATGCTCATACAGATGTTTGTCTGTCACAATTTCTCTTCTTCTTTTAGAGTTTTCTTATCGATCCTATATTTGTCTTTTTTCCAATTATTATTAGTAGTAGTCATAAGTTCTGGTAACATTGGTATTCTTGTAGTTTCTCTTTATCTTCTATTTCTTTTTTTTTTCTTGGCTTATTATGTTCATATTTATTTTTTGTCTGTACAGAAATTGAAAGAATCTTATCACTTGCTTTCTTGAGCATCATTCAGTGCATCCTTTGATCTGCTGATTGTTTTGTCTGACGTCTTGTCTCTCTATGATTCCATTGCATCTCCGAAGGAAGGCCTCTATTAAGACGATTAACGATACACAGCGATGTCTGTAGTTCATTACTTGCTGTTTTATGTATAAAGTCTACAGACATACTTGCACAAACACTATATATATATATATATATATATATATATATATATATATATATATATATTGAAACAACTGTAAAGCCTACATTTGGTCCAGCTGACATATATATATATATATATATATATATATATATATATATATATATGTGTGTGTGTGTGTGTGTGTGTGTGTGTGTGTGTGTGATCGGCTGTTTTGATGCGTCTAGTGTGGTGGTCTGTTGTGCTAGTGCTTGTCGTTTCTCGCTTTTAGTTACCGCCGCTGGCTATCAGAAATGCGAAAAGGGAGCCGAGTGCGCAAGTCTTCCCCTGCCAGTATATAGCCTCTCCATCAGCAAGCCCTATATAGAGCAACCTCGGAACCGTGCACCTTTCGGACTCTGGCTAAACTATAAGGGGAGGAGTTAGCCCCTTTAATATGCGGCATGTAGGCCCACCGGTGTGTCGACATGCCCTGGTGCCCATGAACCAAACCCCAGCTATGGGTTAAATAGCTACACTGCCCTGTGGAAATTTTCGGAAGAAGGAAAAGCCAAGAAGTAAACCCTATACAAATCCGGAGTGGATCCCCTAAGACGGATGGATGGCACTCTGTGCTACCTTCCGGAAACTCCTGCAGCCGCGCTGGTACTAAACTGTATTGGTTTATCCTCTCCATTGGGCTCTGCTAGCAAGGCTGAGAGGGAGAACTAGCCTTTGTTCTCTATAAATCCTACCTAGGCTCGTAGCGTACTGGAGAGGATACTCCAGCGACGTCGCAAGACAGGGAAGTGACAGTTACCGGTCAAAAGCCCAACCCGACTGGCGTATGCTACGGGCGCCAGGGGTCACTTCCGTCTGTGGGAGAGATCATCGCGTCTCACTGGGCCGCTACCGCCCGCCTCAAGCTGGGCATCCCCCAGCCAACCACCACAGCTTGCTTGCTCTACTGGGTGCGTAGGGCGCCGACACTGATCCTCCTGACAAGCAAGCTGTAAATCCCGCACCAAGCAGGAAAAAAAAGAAACACGAAGACTTCAGCTCTTCGATTTGCTAGCTGGAACGGCCGGACTCTGCGCCCTGGACTCGCAGATGACATCCAACAGATCGACGATGCTCGAAAGACCACAGTAATAGACAAGGAACACTCAAGACTGGGCACTGACATCACCTGCCTGCAAGAGACTCGTCTGGCTGACAGCGGTTCTATCAGAGAGACCAACTACACCTTCTTCTGGCAGGGCTGGCCTCAGGATGACCCAAGACAACATGGCGTAGGCCTCGCTGTGAGGAACTCGCTGATACTAGCCATAGAACCACCAACTGGTGAATCTGAGAGAATCCTAGCACTGCGCCTCTCAACATCTACAGGTTTCGCCAACGTCCTCTGCATCTACGCGCCAACGCTCTGCGCCAACACAGAGGTCAGGGACCAGTTCTATGAGCATTGGATGAGAAGAAATCCAGAAATCCCAATACTCAAGGATTATACCTACTAGGAGAATTTAATGCTAGAGTGGGAGCCGACTGTGACACTTGGCTCTCCTACCTCGGTTGTCAGGACATAGGCAAGATGAATGATAATGGACAGCGGCTGCTGGAACTGTGCTGCCACCACGGACTTGGATACACCCATGTTCTCGACACTAGCACCAGATCGACCTTGTCATCACCAGGCTTGCTGACCTAAGTAGCGTTCTTCACACTGGGTGCTTCCACAGAGCAGACTGCGACACGGACCACTCCCTAGTAGGCTGCAAAGTGAGACTGAAGCCTAGAGACAAGCACTTCTGGCCTATAAGCAAAACCCTTGTGTCAGTACCCGCAATGCCCTCAGAGCTGCTCACAGCAAGGCCCAACAGATTGCACGCTGCTGTGCCAACGACTACTGGCTGAATCTGTGCAGCAGGATCCAGACGGCTGCCTACAGTGGAAACGCAAGTGGCGTGTACGCCGGAATCAAAACCGCTACAGGTTGCACTCTCATCAAGACGGCTCCGCTGAAGTCCACTACCTGAAGCTTTATGCAACCCAGAACGTGGTGACTGATGCCACTCTGGATGACTTGATCAGTCTCCCAGTCATGGAGGAGTTTGATGCCTTGCCCTCTGCATCTTCTGCGGGAGTACCCTGGGAGGGATGCGATCCCATCGGAGTTTCTGAAGAGTGGAAAGCCACCTCTGCTGTGGCATCTCCACGAGCTTCTGTGTCTGTGCTGGGAGAAGGGCCACGTTCCCCGGGACATACGAGATGCCAACATTGTCACCCTCTATAAGAATAAAAGTGACCGCAGCGACTGCAAAAAATACCGCAGCGTTTCCTCCTCAGTGTCGTCGGGAAGATCTTTTCTCGCGTTGTCTTGCCACGACTGCAGAGCCTTGCCTCCCGTGTGTACCCCGAGTCGCAGTGTGGCTTCAGGGCGGGCCGATCTACAGTGGACATGATCTTCTCGCTGCGCCAGCTGCAGGAGAAATGTCGTGAGCAGCAGAAACCACTGTATATTGCCTTTATTGACCTGACGACTTGGTCAGCAGAAGTGGGCCCTTTAGCCTCCTGGAGAGGAAGATAAAATGTCCCCCAAGACTTCTCCATATGGTCAAGTCCTTCCACGAGGAGCATCCGACACTTTCCCTGTGAGCACTGAAAATTACCTAATCTGAGAAAAAAATAGAAATCGATTGCAGACTGTCACTCCACTGGTTCTAAAACTGAACGTATGTTGAAAGAAAGGAGACTAAAACAGTTGTTTTAATTAATTTGCAAAGGTATATATATATATATATATATATAAGTCAAAATGATTATTTCTTTAATTCACGAAAAAGCTCATGTTCTGTCTCATCACAAGCACTGGTGTCCATTAACGCCCAAAGGTTTTCAATTGGATTAAGTTCAGGATTCTGACTAGGCCACTGGAAGAGTTGCAATTTACTCTCGTTGCGCTTCCTCTCTAGATAACGTTTATTCTTTAAGGCAATGTGCTTAGGATCGTTATCGTGTTGGAACGTGAAGCGTTAATCCTCGGCAAACAGTTATTTTAGCAGAAAACCACATTTGATTAAGAAGACTGTTGTGGTATTAACGCTGGTTCATGATTCCCTTGATTTTGCCCAAATTACCAATTCCTGCTGCTGAGAACGCATCTCAAAAGGTTATTTTTTAATCGTGTTTAACAGTGCGGTAGTCACTAGAGTATTCGTTCCACCGAGCGTACAGCAAACACGTATTCGTCCTTCATATCTAAGAGTAAAGGGGCCCTCGTCACTCCACATAACATCTTCCCAATCAGATATGGTACATTGTAAATGAGTTTTGCACCAAGCCAACTGTACCAGTTATTTTTTTTCCAGATACGAAAGGTTTTTTTGTTTTTATGTATTGGGAAACAATGCCTTTAGCTTTAAGCCTACGTCTGACTGTTCTTGAAGAAAACTCCAAACTATCCGCTTTGGAAACATTCTGTGCTATTTTAAATCGATCTTTTTTGGATTAACGAACCAATTTCTATCTCTCTTGTTGGTAGTTTTTTAGCGGTCGGCCAGATCCACTACGTCTATCATATGTTCCAGTTTGATTTCTCTTTTTGATTAACTTGCGGACACATGACTCACTTCGATTAGTCTTATCAGATATCGCTCTATTCGACAGCCCAAGATCATGAAAAGTAGGTACTTGGCCTTTCTCGAAATCAGAACCATGCTTAGGCATGTTAATAAATGAAAATACAAATGTAATAAGCTTTATATTTTGTTCACCATCATTTCAATGTGTGCGTCCATTTTTTGCCTCGTACTGTATATATATATATATATATATATATATATATATATATAGAGAGAGAGAGAGAGAGAGAGAGATAGATAGATAATATTAGTGGTAAATATACACATACATATGCAAAATATACAGATATATATATATAGGTGCTTACACATACATGTATATTTTTTGAATAAAAAATTCCGAGAGGATAGAATCCAGGTAGAACTCAATGTCCAGGACAGAGTAAAGATATAATAAAAGGCTTAAATACTAATATTCCATGGTCATAATTCATTCCATTGGAATCGTAAATACTATCCAATTCATCAAACCTACAAATTCAAAAAGAAACCAGAAAAAACAACTCCGGAAATAAAAATAGAATTTGGAGAGAGTGTAAGTATGAGAGTGTGGGACGAATGTTAGAGCTAAAGAGAGGGGTAACAGACGAGAGAAGGGGGGAGATTAAACCTTAACAGAGAGGGTTTTATCTAACTAGAGGTGAGTGGAAGGGGAAAATATGAATGTTGTCGGATGTCTTATACATTAAAGATACATTTCGTGGTGACATACACACACCATAGACGATCTAATGTTAAAGATCAGAATAGGAGGGAGGAAGAGAAAAAGAAAAGGGCCGCTGTGTAATTGAGAAAATTTGACAAAATTAATATCGACTACAGGTTACAAATCAAATACAAACATATAAAGAATAAATATAACGATTATCTAATCTAATATCTAATATATATACTTGTGTATGTGTATGCGATTTGTGTTTTATGTAGTTGATAGCGAATAACAGAAAGAGAAATCGGCGATACGAATTCGAATTTTGAGTTTGTTACATTCACTTATCTCAGTTCCCTTGGGATATTCATGAATCCCTCTTTTCTCGCCCTCACCACTGGCTATGTGTTAAATAACAAGGTAGACTGAGATCTTTGGAATTGGTTGGCAACCAGTCAAGGAGAAGAAAAACTCCTGAATTCAAAGCTGAGGAGGGTTAGTCAGAAACGTCAAAGCATTTAGTGTGGCATTTTTCTGCTGCTTGTTCTACACAACAATTCATCACTTTAAGTAAATCATAAGTGCGGGTAGTTTTGCGGTTGGGTCAAGCAGAGTAAACTGTTAGATCCACACACACACAAACAAACACACACACACACACACACATATATATATATATATATATATATATATATATATATATATATATATGGGGTTTCTATTTACTAACCTGAGATTTTATTACTCAAGTGGTGTTTTTAGTGGATATTCGAGAAATATTACAAAGAAATATGTTCTCTCCAGCAAGATCGAACCTGGTTAGTGGAAACCGTCCTTAGATCCGACGTGTTTTAAACTACTCGTCTACGATATGCGTCGACGCTCAGGCAAAATTGAATAGTGTCTTTAAACGCAAATCTTTCACGGACTCTCGAAATATACATAGCTGCTCAGTTTCGTATCAACGTAAACAAAGCAATTTCTAAAGAAAAAGCGGTAACTATACATCCTTGAAATGGCTAAAAGAATAGTCGAAAGCGCTCATACAAAATATTCGTACAATTTTTATATAATTTCTGTCGAAATAGCAGTAACTTCTCTGTTGTTTCCAATATATATATATATATATATATATATATATATATATATATATATATATATTTATATATATATATATATATATATATATATATATATATATATATATATATATGTATATGTATTTTTGTATTTAGGCAGAAAATTCTCTTTTAGGCATGTTTGATAAATAAATTGCACACATTATTTTTAACATAATCCGTTCATACTCACGAATAACCTTCCGTTTGTATTACTGCTTGCACCCCTGAACAATAACAGTTTTGTATTACTACTGAAGATGTTCTTGAAAGAAGATCGAATGTACTTGAGAAATAAAAACGATTTTCACAGTTATAGCACATTTCTCAAATCATTTAATTTCAATACACAGAGTGTTATTCGTGAGTATAAACGGATTATGTTAAAAATAAACAGACATAATGTCTGTAATTTATTTAATGAGACATATATATGTGTGTGGGTATGTGTGTGTGTATGTATGATTGGTTTGTTTTCTAATGCTTATCAAAACTCTGCAGTATATTTAAAACCAGAAATATTTTACATTAAAAAAATGGGGGGGGGATTAATAATTTATTGATAAACGTCTTACTAGACCCGTAGCTGGAGGAGAAGAGGTGAATTCATAACTTTCCCAAGAGTATTTACGCGTAAGTTAATATAATGAACCCAACTGGAATTGGAAACTGCCTCTCCGATTATAATTCCGTGCTGTTATCCATTACACCACCTGCACATCAAAACTTGGTATTCCTAAGATCTCACAAGCTAGGTACTGACCAGGCTCAACATTGCTTAACTCAGTCTTGGATATGTCGCTTAACTCCATCCGGTAGCAAGGCCTCTGATCCGGAATTTTTGAGGAATCACCTTTTAATTGCTGTCGTTCCCAGGTCCACCCTGACCCGGGGTGATAGCACCTGCTTGGGTCCCAGCTATGGGAAAAATAGTTAACCCCCAAACTGGATTCAAAACACTATGAAAATATAAAGATTTAAAAATACCAGCAATACCAAAAAAACAGTTATACGTTTTTGTAAAAAAAATGAAAATAAAAATGATTTACCAACAATGCATTTTTGAAATTACTAACCCTCCCAAGAAAATTAAAATTTCGACATTTAATGACCCATAAGGAGTTGATATGCCGCTAAAAAAACAAATAAAGAATTAAGGATTGTTTCGTTGATTGTATGGGAATCGTTGTTTGAACGTGATGTGACCGAAAGCTATTTACATATATATGGAGACCTACATATATATGAATGTGACCACATTTTAATCTATTTTTGTATATTCTATTTGCCGTTTGTAAGCTGTCTGTGAGTGTCAACATTGTTGTTTTTATATCGATATTTTTATTATCTTAATCTCTTTTTATAAACGCCATTACATTTGCTCGGTCCTCTGCATGACTCGTAAATTCCCACATAATTGCCGTTGGTAACAAAAAATGCTACATCATTTGACTGTGATAGATTTTGTTGACTCAACAAACTGGATATCTTTTTAATCAAACTGTAACAATAAAACACCGGTGTTCAGATATATTAGGCTGATAGAAAGAATTTCTGAGATCATATCGATATGACAAGTCCAGACATCTCGAACTCCACAGAAAAATATTTTTCTTTCACCCTTACTACTTTTCCTTGGGATTAGCCTTTAGAAATACCGCAGTATATAACGTCTTTTGTAAACTGGAGCGTAAAATTGTTCGAGAAGCTTGCTAAATTGTTTACTATTGTTAATACTTTTCTCGGTACATTTTATCATCTTTGATGTTCAGAAAAGAAGTTACTGCCTTTTCGTTAATGTTGCATGTTGGATGATAGAACATGTTAAGCACTGATCCTGAAAAAAGCCTTGCAAAAAAATAATAGGCCAACAGCACAAATTTCA